ATGAATAAAAAATTACCTTGACCTTAAAAATAACTTAAAAAATTAACACTAATTTCTGCCGTTCTCGCGTTCTTGGAAATGGACATTTTGACAAAATAAGAGCAAAAATGTATTTGTCAAACTTTAAAAAAAATTAAGTGAATGATCTTCCTATGTTGAGTGCCATCTTTTTGGGTCATGGAACTGCTTCATATATTACCATTAGTCTAGATCAGGAGTTGCCAAACTTTTTTCGCCGCGGCACCCTTGTTGTGCTAAAAAAACCTCGCGACACCCCTACTCTTCAAATGTCTACGAAAACAAGAAAACACAATGCAAACTTTATGCTCCTTTAGCTTTAATGTGAGGACTGAAATTGTTTTGATGATTTCATTATCTATTGTGAGCTTTGACACTTTTACCCTAAAATTATTTGACCCTGAAAGCTTCCTGGTGTATTTGTTTTTAACCGACTTCACAAAAAGGAGAAGGTTATCAATTCGTCGGAATATTTTTTTATTATTTTTTTTTATATATTTTACCGCATATCTTTGGACCACGTTAACCGATTACTATCCCCCTTATTCTAGAACCCGAATTTTCGTAATTTGTAATTCGTAACTACGCTACGAAAAACGAAAAATCTACATGCTGCAACACTTGCGGAAACATGTGCAGCATTGCCAGCTATCAGTTGTTTTTCGAAGATAGCTGAATGAAGGAAAACAATGTGGAAAGGAATTAAAAAAACACTCATCATGTGCTTGTTTATTGTAAAATTGGTTAATTTTGCATATTTTGAGGAAAATTATGGATTCTGATGTATTTGCAATTATAGCAGCAGAGTAAGCGGGCGCTATGGCAATGGATTCACATAGGTATGCGGAGCTGTCGGGCATAGTAACCATGGGCGCATCTATGTCAGCTTTTGGTTGAATTGTTGCACCACAAGCCAGAACTCCTCCTATGCCTGAAGCTCTGGTTCTCAATCCAGTTAATGCAATAACAGCTTCTTCCAAGCCATTGAAAACATGCACTTTGTTAAGTCCACCACCTGTTGCGCTTGCTTCTACCTTCGGCCGCGCTTAGGAATTATAACCCTTACTAAGTAGAATTCTCCTTTCTGTGTTGCGGGGAAGAGGGGCTTCCGCATGACAAAGGTATACAACATTTCTTGTGCATATCACTCCGGCTACGACATCCATTGTATTTTTGCGCAGAACCCACGTCGAAATTTGCAAAAAAGTGCATAGTGCAAACCGAATTTATTAATAAGCTAGTGGTAGGAAATTTTATACATTTGTCTTAAATAAAATTTGAATCCTTTGATTACACGTGTATGCTAAAGTTTTTGGATTCGGGCTATGCGTTTGGACACAACAACCGAAAATCATTGTACAAATAACTAAACCGGACCCAAGTTTCTCGATAAGGGGCAACAAAGATTCTTTTTTGCTCGTTTATATAAAGTAGTGGATAAAAATATACGTGTATGCGAAAGGCAAATTTATCTGTTTAAATGAACACCACCAATATTTCTTGCAAACACACATCGATTTGCATCTTTTATTTCGCCTCCGACATAGAATTGTTTTCGTACAAAATTACGCAAAAAAGCTTACTCGTTCGTTTTTAGGCATGCCATTGTTACGAATTTCGAAAATTCGAAAATACGATTCGGATTGCAGCATACTATTTCTACGATTCGTAGCAAAATCCGAATACGAAAGAGTTGCAGAATAGGGGTGTATAATTCTTTTTTTAAAGGAAAGGTGTTACCTCACATTCTAATTTTGGTTTAAATCCGATCATGCGATCGTGAAGAGATTAACGATAGTCTTAAATTTTTGTATGGGAATTGAAGTCGGTTTTGTTTTTTGTTCAAAAATTATTTGTTTATGTAAGCCTTTGTTGAAACTGCAGTCTCACATAGAAATGTAAAAGTAAAAGTCACTAGTATTTTTAATGCAATTTTGCCAACAGCAGTGTTTTCTGCACACACTTGCATCCGGAACTCTCTTGGCTCCCTTCGTAGTATTTAAAATTCAAAGTGCTGTCTTCACTGACGTCCAGAAGGTTATCAAAAGCTTAATTTGTCATCTCAGTAGGTTTACTTTTCGGGTCACATGAAAATACCGACAGATCATACAGTGACTTCTCGTGGCGTTTTCCGCCTCTTGCTTCATCCTTGCTTCGTTTTTCCAACCCCTGCAAATATCCGCACACTTGCTCCATTTCAAACCATTTTTCTGTACAAATTTGTCGATAGCTTTAAAACTTTTGTCGCCAGTGGTGTGAGTCTCAAGTACTTCGCTTATCAAAAGTTCTTCTTCGATTTGCATTGCGAATGGGTACCTCACTAACACGAGAAGAACATTAAGTCCCACTATTTACGTCGGTACTTTCGTCAAGTTGCAAACTAAAAAATGTATAAGTTTTCAAACTTTTTATAAGTACGTTCTCGACTGTCTCTAAAATCGTGTTGATTCGCTCTTTCAAAGTTTTATTGTGAAGTTCCAAAGAATAAGTAACATATACACGTGCGCGAAGCTGCTGCGCTTGTTACGAAAACAGCACAGTCAGCAAAAAATCCGAAAACGGGACGAAAAGTGAATGAAACGCGGACTAGGTCTACAAAAGTATCGAAAATGGTTGTGAAAAGGGTACGTTTTCAGCGATTTTTCTGAAAATTTTCTGATTCAATTTTTCGTTGACAAAACGTACTGGGGAACCACGCTTAAGCGCGAAATACACCACCTAAGCAGCTTGACAAATCAAGCGAAATATCCCTTGGCTGCAAGCCATTTGTGTTTTGTATGGGGTTTGACGAGCCGCTGAAGGTAGTTTTAAAAAAAATCAAAAATTTTTGATTTTCTGATCGCCATGTTGAAGTTTGATCAAATCGCTTGCGTTGTGTATGGAAAGTTTAAAGAATTTGCACACACTACTAGTATACTCTAGCCACTAGCGGCACCTCAGGGAGCCGCGGCACCCACTTTGGGAAAGCCTGGTCTAGATAACTGTTATGATGAAGTTCACTGCAGAATAAATCTGCTGCTTCTCCACGATTTGAGGAGCTAGCTTTAGTGGTAACGTAACGATGGTTTGGAGTAAGAAATTAACCCAAGTTGCTTAACTTTGGTGTAAATTCCCACCTCTATATCGAGGGCTCATATTCAATACCCTCTATCTGCAATTTTCACAAAAACTACTTTGCGATGTTAGAACCCATCTGGGACTTACCTGTCATCACTGATGGTAATTATGACTTTGCACTTTAACAGTAAATTCTGCTGTCAAGCGTTATCAAGGTCAGCATTATATCACCGACGACAGTTAAGTCTTAGGTGGATTTTTCTATCAGAATATCATTTTTGTGAAAAGTGCAGATAGAGGGTATTGAATACAAGCCCTCGATATGCATCTGTGTTCGTATGGAATAGTAGCTTCCCAGTGGGAATTAGGAGCACGTAATAATACCTTATTAGCAACTTACTCTTCACCTGGCAGTCATTACCATTTCCCTGCCGAACGTCCCTTACTTTTACAAAGGCATGGCCGCCTTATGTAAGTAGGAATTTAGAATGTACATTTGGTATCAGACATACTTCTGAGCCGCTTTACAAAGTAAGTTACGTGTAATGCAGAGCAGTCGCTCGGAGTAGTTCGGTGCTTGGAAATAACTTCGGCTGCACGTTATTTTGCAACTGACAACGTAATGTGTCTTCGGAGGTGTTCATTTTGCCCTTTACTAGTAGATGACATTGGCCATGATGACAATTTTGGTACTAAAAACTGAAAGAAAACATGGCTTACCTCGCAAGGTGCTTACCTATTTTCCCAGTGGGTTATGTCGGGAAGCTGGCTTTAGTACAATGCGACATTCCCTTTATTCGTCAATCGACAAGGAGTTTTTTGATGAGACTTAATAAGAATATTAACCTGCTAGTATCGGAACTATTTCTGCACGTTTATTTGCCAAAAGTTCTTCAACGGCCCGGCACCAGTGAGTCATTCGCAATCGTATGCTGCGAATGCCACATTACACTAAGGCCAGCCTTTCGACATAAGTTACTGTTCCATACGAAAACGAGATATATTATCTAGTTATCCCAAATATGCATCATAAGACAAGACAAGCTTTTGACCAAACCAATTTGTAGTGAATGGGTTTCATTAGATTTACAGACTTTTTAACCATGAAGTAGGAGAACTGTTTTACTTAGCTAGCAAAAACCATATTTTTTTAAATATTTTAGCTCAACTATCTTTGGCCGGTGAATATAGGCATTTATTTATGATAGAACTTAGTTTTTTTGGAAATCGTATATGTAAAAAATTTACAATAGTGGAATTCGCGCTTCTGTATAGTTGCTGTATTCTTCGTAAGTGTAACTGGACGAGCTTGTGGTTGTTGTTGCATGTGTATTTGATCTACCGCTAGCAACAACAAATCACACGCTCATGCAGTTACAATTACATAACATACAACGAATACACAGAAGAGCGAATTCTCCTAATATAACATGAATATGAGAAGGAGCATCAAGGGAATGTACCATATACATACATACGCACATACATACATACAATTATAAAATTGTTCATGGTAAACTAATCTCATGAATTCAACTCACCAATATCACTTTTATTAACTAAGGAATTAAATTTGAGAATTGACAAAAAATCTACAATGTAATGAATGATTAAAAATGTATGTATGTTTTAGATAAACATATTCAAAATCAAATTTGCAGTCAAACCACTTACGAATGCCCTTGAGGATAGAGTATGTACCAAATATGATTTCTCAAAAACCAAAGTTAAAATGCCTTGATAAAAATCGCAAAAAATCAAAATCAATTCAGTCGAATTTGTGGTATTCGCAATAAAATCAAATGCGATCGATGGGCTAAAGAACGTCTCAAGAAAAAATTAGTGCAATTTTTGTGTTTTTTTTTGTTGGCAACAAGGGACAAGTTTTAGTAAAATAAAAATCTAATTGGAGTGCGAATACATACCATCAGTGGGCATGAAATCTTCATAAATGAAGGAACCAGTTTTACGCACGCGCGACTCGGGTGAATAAACGCTACTGCGGCTGCCGATCTGAAAGTATGTAAAATAGAGAAAATTACAGAAATGATTAAAATAATTCGCATGAGTACCTTTCTAAATAAACGTTGACTGCCGCCACCGGCGGACGTAGGATAGTAAATGTAGATGTTGTGGTCCTCAGCCGATACAGGTTTCTCCACAAATGGCTTATTGAAAATAATGCCGTTCACTTCTACGTGGTCTTCCGATTCGATCAGCTCATGTTCTGTGGGAATTAAAGTACAAATAATAGTTCTTGTCCATCCCTTGTAATAAAGAACACGATTTTAATTACGTTTTGGATCAGGTGAGTCGCGATCCAATACAGCATAACGCGGTATTTCAATGCCTTCCTTTTGCAGTATAGCATAGACACGGCGACGATCTTGTATATCGTATTGCATGTGTAAATTGTTGAGAACATACGGTTTTCGTAGTTGTGCATATTGAATCGCCTTTTCTAATGGAAAGCCTTTCGAATGAAACGAAATCAGGCAATCACAGAGAGGCCAATTCTCTACCGGCTCCTAGGAAAGAATAAAGATTACTTTCGAGGAGATATAGAAAAACTAATGTAAATGTAAATAGTTACCTTTAAAATTACATCTTCGGAAAATATAAGCATTTTGATAAATTCAAATTCTTGTAGGCGAGTTAATATCTCCTTCATTGGTTTAGATTGCGTCTTTTTGGCCATGGCGCAGATGCCCACAACAACTTGCTTTCCAGGGTTCGAACAAGTGCTGCAATCTGAATCCATGCCGTCATTGCTCTCACCGTCGCCCTGTTTATAGAGATAATAATTGGTTTTATTATACAATTGTTTTAAATTTGTCAGAAATCCTTTCATTTTAAAATTGATTAACATGATTGATGTAAATAAATTAGGGGTATTCTCCAAATCTTGCAAAGCCATTGCACGTAGCACGGATTGCACGGATTGCATAAATTGCAAACACACAACAAGAAAATTCATGGGAAACAACATTTCCTATCGCTGCAAAATATGCAACGTCGAAACCCATGTATATATTTTGCAAAATAGCATAGCAAGACAATAGCGACCCTGTGCTAGTTGTTTTGTTGTTGGAATTGCTACATATTTCTCTCATTCCTCTCATCTCGCTCACTTAATTTTTTTTTGCTGTCTCTTGTTATTGTATTTGATACATAATTTCGCTGCTTGCTCCCCATGCATGCTACCTCTTTGCAATGGGGTGTTCTCGTACTCTTCGAAATTTGGAATAGTATTTTTGCATTTCGTGCAATCCGTGCATCGTGCAAGACTTCGAGAATACCCCTATTATGTCTATGTTCACACCATGGTGGAATAATAACAAGGTGTTGTCAGTAGCGACGTGTTTGTTGTGATTTTGACAAGATCGACATGCTTATTTTCAGTGCTGCCGATCTTAATTTTTATACTACTATTCGTTGGGAAATAGTATCTAATATACTCCATTTTAGTAATTCGTTTTATCGCGATTTTTAAAGAACTTGGTGTTTTCAGAACAATATTAATATTTAAAATTGCTGGATTAGTATTATTTTTCTTCTAAAATTAAAAAAATAAGATATCGTGGTTATCAATGGAAAAAAAACGTACAAAAAAATCGTATGAAAAGGCGATTTTTTATATTAAATAACTTTTGCTGCATTGTCATAATATTGAGCCAAATGAACTAATGATACACTAGAATAGAGTGGCTGCATGGTTAAATTAGGAATTCGCTTATATTACCGATATTTATGTATTTTAATCTAATTAAAAAATCATTTACAGTCTTATAGGAAATTGCCTTATTTGACGGCTTTTACTTTTTTAAAGTTACAATATATGTCCAAGCTGTGTGGAGCTGCCGATACAAACATATATTCAGGCTTATAAGCCTGTAATTATCCATTTTTCTATATTTAATTTGAAATAGTATGCACCAACGGATTAAAAGTAGTAAATAATTAGTACCTTTTCTAGTACTTTAAAATGCGTGACCGGAATAGACCTGCCGAAAAAGTGAGGTTAAGTTACTGACAACACCTTGTTATTATTACACCATGGTTCACACGGCACAACAACTGAAGTATGATGATAAAGTATTGAGAAAAACGGATTTATAAGCCTGTTCCAAGGTAATCGAGGATTTGCAGTTTCCACAGGATTTACAAGAAAACTTAATAAACCTTATGTAAAGTGGCGTGCGGAGACAGTTTCCAGTAAAATCCTGCAAATACTGAATTACCTGGAGTAGGCTTTACATTAGAGAAGTGCGGTTTTCTGTAAATACTTTTACCAAATCTTATTAGCAGAATATGGAAGCATTTTAGATACATATTCCTAGAAAGTAGTGGGCCGAATACGTATGTCAGTAAAAGTAAAAGATATTCCTGATACTCTTTCTTTTGCGCTCTTTATCGTTTTCCAGCCTTTTAGTTACACATCATAGACGATTATTCATTAATAACATAAATCAATTTTATTCATGATTCAAGTAATTGCATATACGAATAAATTTTGCTCCCCCAAAAGTACCTGGAAAGTGAATTTTGTTTTGCTTGTAGGTCTTGTTGAGTAAAACAAGAATCGAAATCGCGGTAACTAAAAGGGCCCATACATACAGTGACCAAAATTCTGTGGACAAAAATCGGGAAATTTCTACAATTTTATTTTTAGAATAAAAAGGTATAACATTTTTTAATACAGTTTTATTTTAGACAAAGCAAACATAAATATAATTGAAAAATTATCGCAAACGTGTATACACACAATAGACAAACATATACGGTGGCGAGAATGTAAATAGGGAAAAGTCCTTTTGACAGGTTTTGGCTACTTTTCTTTACTTACAAAATGTTTATTATTCTTTTATGATATCTAAAAAAACCTTGTATATCAAAATTTCAAACTTTGCAAAACATTTACAAAAATTCGACGAATTTTAACAAATATTGATCAAAATTTTAAACTGTTTCATCTGATTTGAGCCCATTAAGTTTTAGTATAACAAAGTGCAAGATCGAAGTAGCTTGGACTTACCGTTGATTTTTGGCAATTTCTTGTTCGCGCATTTTCTTACATACAAAGTATGTTGGAATTTTTTTTTTGTATGGATAAATGAAAAAAATTCCAAAAATCAACGGTATGTCCTAACAACTAAAAATTTACACTTCATAATAAAATGAAATGGGCTACAAAACTGCATACTCAGAATGTTTCTAATACCTCGTTTATACGAAGGTTTGAATGAAACCACATCAACTGAATGCGATTTCCAGTATAGTGTTTATAACATGCATTTCAAAGCTGATTATGTGGCAACGCTACTGAAATGGATTGAAGTCAGCTGTTAACTTGTCAGCTGTTAACAAAAGTACTATTAATAAAATGGAAAATACAAAAGTTTTTTCTTAAATCTTCTGGAATATTTAAAAAAAAGAAGAAATAATTTATACCGCTCACTTTTATCGTCTCATGAAGAGCTTTTAATAAATATTGCCAGACAAGGAGAACGACAATAAGAAAAATGTGCACCATGCAACGCGAAGTTGCATTGAACTTTTTTACGGTAAACTCCCCAAGATTCCGAGAAATACACAGGCGCCCACGCGCCGTTGAAAGCTACTGGTGGACCCTAAAACAGCCAGGTAACGAACATCTTTACTTTGAGTCCTTCCGAATGCGGTCCGCATCGTTCCTTGTTTTGTGCGAAAAACTAAGGCCACATCTTCAATCATCTGAAATAAGTGTAACAGCTCCTTTGCCAACAGAAGTGCAGGTTGCAATTTGTTTATACAAATTAGCTTCTTGCTCTGAATATAGAGTTGTTGGAGACGTATTTGGGTTTCATAAGAGTACAGCCCACAAGTATTTTCATATTGTCGTAGAAGCCATACTACGGCTGCAACTCGATTTTCTAAAATTTCCACAATTGGACGAAGCGGTAATGATAGCGAGAGGATTCCAAAAAATATGTAAAATTCCAAATATAATCGGAGCGATTGACGGTATGTTGTATGTTTAATTGTAATAAATATGCAAATATAACTATTCTGTGTACTCATGTAAACATACTATAGAATAGTTTTCAACAGAAGTCAAGCAAAGAGTTGCGAAAAAGCAATGGTTAATAATAGAAACCCCCAACTTTTACTTTGTAGGTACACATATTCCAGTTTTACCACCCAGTGAAGGCTATTTGGACTACGTAAACAGAAAGGGTTGGCCATCTATTATGATGCAAACTGTTGTGGATCATAAATACATGTTATGTTAACAGTTTTAACAAAGGATCCAAATAACTTTCCGCTTTTCCAGGTTCCAGGATATTAGTGTCAAACTTCCTGGAAGTGCACATGACGCGACTGTTTTTAAGGAGTCCGGTCTTTTCAGAAACTCCGCACAACTAATTCCTCAATACTCCACCACAATTAAAGGCATAGAAATTCCGCTCCTGTTAGTTGGAGACCCCGCATATCCACTACTACCATGGCTTATAAAACCTTTTACTGGAAATTTAAGCCCTGAGGAGGAATCTTTTAATTGTAATTTAAGTTCAGGACGCATTGTTGTAGAGAACGCTTTTGGAAGGCTTAAGGGTAGATGGAGGTGCTTATCGAAACGCATTGATGTTGATCCCAATTTTGTACCTTCGGTTGTGTTGGCTTGTGCGGTTTTGCACAACTTCGCTGAACAACAAAAATAAATTTTCTTGGATTCCTGGGCTCAAAATGTTGAAAATGATGTCGAATTTCAGCAGCCGCGTGATCAATATTCATTCGAAATAATTTCTGAGGGCAATATTGACCCAAAATGTGTGCGAAATAATTTGAAAAACTATTTAGCAAGAACATATACCTTGAGAAAATCACATATTTAATACAGAACCCTAGACATTTATTTAGCCGTTAAAAACTTTACGATGTACGACAATACGACACTTACGACACCTCGTGAACCACCTAATTGTTTTGGTTATAGATTGAACTATGAATACTCTCATACAAAATTAACGAAAAGGATTTACCAAAAGAAAAACGTTGTTTATATTGTTAAAATCACTGTACACGGACACATACATATGCACATGTACATTAGGCATATAACTTTTTACAATTTTTGCAAATACGAAAAACGGCATACCATAGTCGAATAGAGCATAAAAAAGTATGAACCCCCATTATTTTTTTTTTGCGAAATTGCAAAAAAGTTTCCGCGCAAAACGAAATTACTTTTTTATCAGAACTGCTGAAAAAACAAAAAAAGTTTTGTACAGTGTACACGTTTTTCTTCATAATAATAGATATTTATTTAACTAATAATCTTCCTATTATTCCAAACGCCTTTTAATGGACCTAAGGGAAGTGCCCCACCCACCCCAAACTAATTTTTTTTCAGAAAATTCTGATTCAATATTAAAAAATTTAAAAAAGAAAAAGCAATTTATTCAAGAACTCGCATAGTCAAATAATAATAACACAGCTGTGCGCGCGACAATGTCTTTACATCTGACGAGACGAGAGCGTAGTTACATACTTCTTCTCTTTTATTTAATGTTCTCTATGCAAGAATGATAAAAGAAAGATTACGATAGTTGAATGATTTCCCGTTAGATGACGAAACAAAGTTTTACTTCAGTTGTGTGATCTTAAGCACATTTGTTTTATCATTCAATTTAGAAATTGAAATAAATATTTCAAATCTGTTTTTATCGGGATAATTAAATATTGTTTGTGTAAAAATGTTTAAGACAAGTGCTAAAAATGTTGAAAAGTATTGTAATACGGGGA